TTGTCTATAGAGACCAAACTAGAACACATGTTATCTGCATGCTTTAGTTTAGCAGGCTAAAATATTGTACATACATGTGCTAGGATGTTTATGAATAAAAGTACCAAAAGATGAAAATTGCTATCCAAGGACCCAGTGAAGAACCAAACTCCAGCTCAGTTAATGACCTACTAGTTTTTGTTTGTTTGTTTTCAAGACAGGGTTTCTCTGTGTAGCCTTGGCTGTCCTGGAACTCTCTTTGTAGATCAGGCGGGCCTCAAACTCAGAGATCTGCCTTCCTCTGCCTCCTGAGTGCTGGTGTATTAAAGGTGTGTGCCACCACTATCTGGCTTAATTTTCTAAATTTTCTGTAGCAAATGTCTCGAATAGGAAAATAACGATTTCATTGCATTTGTGGTCAGCTGAAATGCATGAGAAGCAAGTGGAGAGGGCAGAATTGTAGATGATCTGAGAATCCTGCTCCTCGGTCCGTGGGCCGGGCATGATTCTCTCTAGTGTAGGTGGAACCGTGAATGCCATGAAATGCTGTGTTATATGGCAAAGAGAGTTCTGAGATGAGATTAAAGTCCAAACTCAGTCGATTTGAGCTAATCACAAGGGAAAACGCTCTGCATGAGCCGGAGCTAATGAGGCAGGATTTGAGGCACAGGCATCATCAGCCCCCTTCACCTGGCCTTGAAGAGTTCAGCTGCCGTCTTGGGGCAAGGGGCTGGGAGTGGCAAAGACAGAAGGTGTCCTTGAAAGGCCCTGAAGGACAGCTGGCAAGCACGTAGACCTCGGTAGCACAGCTGCAAGGGAATGACTCCTGCCAACACACAGGGAGCGTGCGGGAGGGAACTGCCTCAAACGAGCTGACAGCTCAGCCTACGCCTCGACATCGGTCTGGAATGACCCTTTGCAGAGGGCCCAGTTACCCAGCGCCTGAGATGCTGATCCGTGGGAACTGGGGATCATAAGGCGGTCCTCCTTTAAGCCAGCAAGTTCGTGGGAGTTCGTTATGCAATAAAACAACAATAAAACCTAAGTGGGTTTGCCCATGTGGGGCAGAGACCACTGCAAACAATTGAGAAAACACACATCACCCCCATATAAAGTGGTGGAAACCAGAGACACAGCTTTCAGGGGACTCGGTTCCTGGGACGGTGTAGAAGGACTCACTGGGCATGGCTCCATTTTCTTTTTGTTTGTTTGTTCTTGCTTTTCAAGATAGGATTTCTCTGTGTAGCAGCCCTCGTTGTCCTGGAACTCGCTCTGTAGGCCAGGCTGGCCTCAAACTCACAGAGATTAGCCTGCCGATGCCTCCCAAGTGCTGGGATTAAAGGTGTGTGTCACCACCACACAGCCCTCGTGGTAGCAACTTGGTGGAGGTGTTGTATCTGTGCACTTGCGCTTACATACAAAATAGACTATATGCATGTTTAAGGCATGCATGTATTTATATTTTGATAAGAAACAGACCTCAGTGGGTAAGAGGGCTTGCTGTGTAAACATGACTTCTGTCGTTGTGCTGGTAATGCACACTTATAACCCTTGCACTACAGAAGATGGAGACAGGAGGATCACTGGGATTTGCTGGCTCCTGGTCTAGCTCCAGGTTCAGTGAAGGATCCAGTCTCAAGGCAATAGGAGGAGCATGGTAAACCAGGATACATGAAGTTCTCCTTTGGTCCCTTTGTGGGTATATGAGCCTGTGTACATACATGAACACATACACTACACATACCTTCTTTGTGGCATATCAACCTGTGTGTCTGTACATACATGAACACATACATCACACACATCCTCTTTGTGGGTAAAGCAGCATGTGTATCTATCTGTACATACATGAATGCATTCACTATACACACACAAGCGTGTGCACGTGCGCGGACACACACACACACACACGCATGCACGCACGCATACACGCAAGCTAAAAAGAAAAATTAAAATCAGTGAGCTTGATAGTAATTACAAAACTTCCCTGTGATAAACTGTATGCATTTCAGGCATTCAGGAGACACCTTAGAATATTGTGTAGTTTTGAGGGTCAAACCCAGAACCTTGCACATGCTAGGGAAGCACTTTCGGGGTTCAGCTACATTCCAGACCCTTGTTTGCTTTGAGACAAAGTCCCCATTTGTTTCTTAGTCTGGCTCTCCATCTTACAGCTTCTGTGTCTAGAATGTTGAAGAAATTATGTTTTTGATTGTTGTAAAATATGCATAAATGACTGTATCATTTTAACCATGTCAAGCATACAGTTAAATAACATTTAGTACATTCATATCATTGTGCAACCACAACTGCCCACTTCCAAAACTTTCACTATTCAAAAGGGGAGGCAATCCATCATAATGCAGAGACACCTGGCTCTGTTTTGGTTTTGCCATGTAAACAAGTCAGAGAACAATGCAAAGTGATTTTCAAGGTATTTCTCCTATTGTACTTGCTTGTGTATGAGTCTGCCCTGTGGCCTGATGCATTCCTAGGGTTTTGTGAATAGTTCTTGGAAGGATACTTTCTTTTTCTGGTTTATTAACCAGGGACCAAGTGGTTTTGTGTGTTCTTGTTGTTGTTGCTATTTTAAATTTTTTTTCCCCTGGCTTGCCTTTTATCACCTCCTCATACAAATCACATTCTCCTTCATGATCCTTAAAACACCAAGACCATTTGAACTTTGCTCCCACACCTCCTCCTAAAATGCTGTCATTTCCTTCCATACCTAACAAACATACTCCATTTACTCTTACTAGAGTCTAGAATCTTGGGGAGGTGTGGGTATTTGTCTGTAGATATTTGCTCGGGCATTAATCCCATTGGAGACTTTAGATCATTTTCCTTTTGTGCCTCTGTTCTGCGCTGCGATGACCCGAGTCACTTTCGATTGTTTATGTTTTTCCAGAACCTCTCCCTATTTCATCTTTCTTTATATCCTCTGTGTTTATTTAACTGAATGCTGCTGGAAACACAGGCTCTGTCTCACACAAGCTTGTGTCTTCTAAACCTAGCATGCTCTTTCCCTGTTAGGGTTCAAGAAATACCCCCAAAGAAGACCTGTAGTATGATGGGGCCGGCTTGTTGGGGTTTCCGTCCAGCCCGGTACCCCAGAGCTGGCATAGTCCCAAGGAAAATCACACACAGGACTCCATAAGATTATAAACTGATTGGCCCTTATCTCTGGCTACTTATTAGCTCTTATAACATATATTACCCCATTATCCTTATCTATGTTAGCACATGGCTCCGTACCTTTCTCAGCTGGGCAAGTTACATGCTGCCTCTTCGGTGATCTTTGCAGGAGTGGCTGAGGAATTTTCCTCCTCCCTAGCCTTCTCCTATTCTCATTGCCCTGCCTCCACTTCCTATCTGGTTGACCCACCTATACTTCCTGCCTGGCCAATCAGCGTTTTATTAAAATACATGATTGACAGAATACAGACAATTCTCCCACACCAAAGACCAACAGCCACATATGCAATAATAGGCGTGTTTTATTAATTCCAACATTGGGATGGCTCTTGGTGACCCCAAAGAAGGTCACAGCTCCTTTTAAGTGGAGTTAGGAGAATCCCAGAGAGGAGGGATTAATCTGGAGGTGATTGGTTTGGGAACTGATTAATGAGCGCTAACTGGTAGGAGGCCTAGTGGTTAGGTATTTTCAGGTGGCAGGGTAGGGGAAGCTATTTTTAGCTTGTAGAGGTCTGGGGGTCATCTGTTGAGCTAGCAGGGGGGCTTTGGGGGCTTGCTGAGCCAGTAGAAGGACTTGTGGGGGTGCTTGTTGATGGTCACCTAGAGTTGTAGTTTTCATGAGCCCTGCTTGCTCAGTTCTGGCCCTTTCTAATGAAGGGAATCTAAGGTCTGGTCTCTGTCGGGGCTCTGGTTTGCTGCTCCCTGCTTCCGGTCTTTTCATCCCAACCCTCTGACACTTACTTAATGTTGATCGAATGGCACTAAGCTGGATAGTGGGTGCATAATAATTGCATCTGCCACATAAAGATCGTGGCAGGGTTAACTGGGGATGTAGCTCAGATGGTAGAGGGCTTGCCCAGCATGCAGAAGCCCTGGGTTTGTTCCCCAGGCTATATAAACAGGGAATGGTGTTATAGGTGTGTAAATGTATCACATGCTCGGGAAATAGAGGCAGGAGAATCCCAATTTCAAAGTCTTCCTTGGCTACAGAACAAGTTCGAGGCCATTTTGGGATACCTAAGATCCTGTCTTTAAATAAATGTGTAAATTGAGACCGTGGCACCTTAACACTCTGTAGGTACAGACACGTTTAGTTAAAAGCTGTAATAGGTAGAGAAAATGAGGTGGACCCTTTTAAAGTCTTGTGCGTATGATGGATTTATGATATTAATTGAACAGGTATGGAGGGACTGGTGGATGTTGGCTCCTCCTTAAAAATGGACTTCTTTCTCATTAATGAAGTTGGACGCAGTGTAGTATAAATCTCCCAATGTTTATCACTCTCATTTCATACATACTAATAAGGACACGTGCTCCGGTGTGGTGGGAAAAATCATTTTCCAGCAGTGGGGAAAATAACATCAGTACTTGGACCCCTGCTGACTTTGCTCACATTGTAATATTTTTTTTCTTAAGGATTTATATTGGCAGACTCATGAAATCACTGAGTGTATTAAATAAAGAGCATGCCATTGCAAAGGTTATGAGCCTCCTCCCTTTGGCATCTTATAGGCGAGTAATGTATGGACTGGCTCTCCAGGACTCCCTCTTCCACACAGTGGCTACCATTTTCATTACTGGTGTCTATTAAAATTTAATCACAGAACACTCAGAGAGACCCCAGAGTTCCCAATAACGATGAAAAGATGAAGGTTGATACAGGATGGCATGGCGATGCTCTTCTCCTTCACACTGCTCATGTTTACCAGTTAGAACCATGGATGGCAGCCTCACTCACTAAAAGATAACATTCTGAAAATGGAACCTTAGAATTTTGTGGCCAAGCCTATATTATGACTAAACTCTGGAGACAAGGAGAGGGGTAGGATAAATCTTCGAGCTATCTGCAGGTTCTGATTTGAGCTCCTCCTCAAAGTGAGGTATGCGTTATCTTCTCCAAGCCCAGATGGTCGCGATCTGGTCTGGCCACAGTTTAATGGTGCCAAGACTCACGTGGGGCATTGTGAAGGTTCATGGTATCTTCATTTACTGTATTCTTTTTTAAATGCCAGTCTAAACACTTTTAAAAACTCAGTGGTAGTGGTGGTAGGGCAGTGAGACGCCTCCGCAGCAAAAGCCCTTGCAGGTTATACCTGAGGACTTGAGCAACCCCCAGAACCCAGGCTGTAAGAAAGGGAACCAGCCCCTAAACGTTGTCCTCTGACCTTCACAAGCCGACTGTGGCATACACATCTGTTGTCACACACACACAAGATATACACACAATAATAATAAATTAAAAGGATAAATTTACAAGCAAAACATTTGTCTGTGTTAGTTTAAATGCGTAGTGAAGCAGTTTCTACAAAGAGTGTTGCTGACAATATGGCATTTTCCCAGTACCTTGGCTTCTGGATATGCTGTGTACATCCTGTTGTCAGAACAGTTCACAGTAGGCATGAGCCAGGGGATTGATTAATAAGACATTTGTTAGGATAGTTGCTGAATCAACCTAGAACTGAAGGCCAAAGATGGGTGAGGCTATAGCTCTTATGATAGCCAGAGAGAAATCTAGCAAGATCCTTAGCAATCTGATAGACAATGTTTTATCTTTGCACTATAGGAAAAGATATGGTCTTGTGCCTTTTCCTCTTTCTTTGATTTATCTTTTCCTAGTAGTACTTCTGTTACATATGTATATAGGTATATATGTACCTATCTATCTGTTACATATGTATATAGATATACATGTTATCTATCTATCTATCTATCTATCTATCTATCTATCTATCATCTGTCTATTTATCTACACACAAAAAAAAATCAACTAAAAACAAAAACAAAAACCAGTGTGTGCATGTGTGTGTCCATGCCACAGAAAACGTGTATGGAGACCGGAGGATGTCAGGCATGAGTCCACTCTCTCCTTCTACTGTGTGCATCTCAGAGATTAAACTCAGGTCATCAGTCTTGGCAGCAAGTTCCTTTACCCCCTGAGCCATCTCCCCAGCCCTGCTAGTTATTTGTATTCTGATACTGTATCTATTAACAAAGGCGAAAGAACTCACTATAGTTTCCCCTTTGAATTTCTCTAGATGTAGTCAGGCATCCAGCCCTTCCCCCACTTGGGGTTTCCAGCTAACTCTAACTCTTTCTACCCTTCTCTTCACACGGTTCCTAGGGTTGGGTCTGTTTCCTACGGTTTGTGCCTCAATCTAGACACCAAGAAGGGTTGGGGCACTGATCGTATCCTATTCCTTATTCTGAACCAGAGGATGGAGTTTCCATTCCCCTAGTGGCTGTGTGATATGGAGACCGTGTCAGATGACTTTCTACTGTTGTGGCCACTGAGACCACTGTGGGAACTAGATCTGCCTGGAGGGCCTGGTTCCAGCTTACACCGCCTAGTGCTGGCCCTCGAGTAAGTCTCACCTACTTTATAACTTACTATCTTATCTCTCTCCTCTGCAAAGTAGGAACACAGGACATCCCTCACAGAGCCAATGCCAGTATCACCTAGGAAACGTGATGCAAAGCTTGCTCTGGAACTAACACTTACTGAGTGACACCAGCAGTTAGGACTCACGACCCACGACCGTAGCTGCTCTACCCTCGCTCTGTTTGTTCCTCAGCGCACCATAGGCCAAGCTTGCTTCCTTTGGGGTCAGAGTAGGAGGAAAAGTTCGGACTGTTGGCGGGTTGGAGAGAAAGTAGGGCTAGAGTCAAATAAAACATCGGCGCAGCAGCCGAGAGGTCTGGAGCTCACCTGTGCGCCAGTTCCAGCTAGTTGCAGTGCTGGGCTCCGCTCAGAGACACAGCCCGGAATGCCACCTGAAGGCAGGCTGAGGTGGAATGGCACCGGAAGGCAGGCTGAGGTGGAATGGCACCGGAAGGCAGGTTGCTTCCAGCCGCTCTTTGTCACACTCCTGGGCAGCAGGTTCTGTCCTACAGAAGAATGGCACTCCCTAATAAATTCCTCAGCCACGTAGCTAGAGAGTGGGGTTGTACCTGGATGCCCCTTCCGTGTCCATAGTGACATGCATTTCTTGTCGTCTTAGGGCTCCATGTGGCCACCCCAGGATCTATATTACTGATGTTGGAGGGGCTCATGCTCTGTGAAACAGTCTCTTCCTCAGTTTGTAAACAACTGCCTTTTTTCATTCATTTCGGTACTGGAATGTAACATTATACTCACCTTTTATTTCACAGAAATTCCACTTTGAGCAGACATAAGCTGACTGACGGACTCAACAGGAAGCACCAGTATTCTGACAGAGATTTGGGCCCAGACTCCTAGAATCAGCTGTTGCTCTAACTGCTTGGCCAACCACCATAAAGGGACTAAGTCCTTTTAGGCACACTGTTAGAGGCCCCAGGCTTCACAAAAGTGTGGGCCTCCTTGTCCCAGAGACATTCTGCGTGGGCCAGACCCAGTATGTGGACTGAGAGGTTTCTTGCGGGTGCCCTCCCTCTGTGACAGGGCTGAACGAGGGTCCCCTTAATACAGCGTGAAATCGATGAGAGGAGGCGGGACCCAGGCTAAGGATTCATTTTTCTTGTTGCCATATTTCTTTGCTCGTTACAGTTTCTTTAGACCCTAGAGCTCTTGTCGGCGACCCGTTTTCTGAATGGAGACGTCGCTGAGCTTTGAAGTCATAATTTATCCCGCAAGAGCTGCTCAAAGAGACGCTTTTGAGCTCGCATCCGGGTGAGGGCTGGGAATTGTAAGTCACCTCCCAGCACTTGGCCAAATTGCAGAGGAGAGTCTCCTTACCTCAGGGAGTCAGTTTTAACTTATTGCTTTTTCCTCGAGATAGTTTTCTCAAACGTTTTCTCCCCCTCGCTTTCACTGCGTATCCTAACTTAGCTTGTACAATTTAGCTGTTCCTGATTTATTAACGGCAAGTAGTCAGCTGTGAGGTAACCCATGACTTCCCTGTGATTAACCATCAAGCTCAATATGCGTTCTGAAACTTGGCTATGGCAAGCCAAGGGATGCACGATGTTTTCCCCTCACTACTCAAAGACAATCCTATTCCATATAAAAGTCTTCATCAGCCTCTGAGATGGACAAGAAGGAGGCTTGACCCGAATCTCTGTGCCTGGATTCAAGTCACCCTCTTACAGGTGATTGGGACTGTGACCTTAGGCAAGCTCCTATGGTCTCTTAGTTTTCTTGGCTGTGAGGCTAGTCAAGCCCATCACAGGATGGGATGGGTAGGTAGGAGGTGAGTTCAGATGGGCAAAGACTAGAAGGAGGCGTGCCATAGAAAGCAAGTCTAAGTACAGATTCTTAATGATCTGTCTTCTAAGTGTTGTATTTGAAGAGGGACACGCAGACAGACCAAGTGAGCAATGTTTCTAAAGCAAGCAAGCAAACAAAACCCCACAGGAATCTTTGGCCTTTATGGCTTAGTTATTAAATGACTATTAGATGAAAATGCGTCTATTGCAAAGAGGCTCACAGATCTCACTAAAAGTGTTTGGTTAAATAAGATCAGGTGTATTATCTATTTAAGTCTTCTGGGTCTGACAACATGCAATTTGGAATCTCATGTTTTAAAGGTGGAAGAGAAATGTCTTCAACGTGCACGTTTGCATAATGAAACCCATCTGACTGAGTAGAGCTATACTGAGTGGCCGGCGCCTCTGGTGTCTCCCCCTCACCTCTTCTGTACCCTCCTACACACTCTCGAGAGACACATATGCGCACACTCTGTGCAAGTTACAGAAAAGAAAAATAGTAAAAACGCATCTCTGTCTCCAGATGGTATTCTTTTCTACCCACTGAGTTTTCAAGGTAACTATCTCGTCACTTTTGCCTATTGCAGATGAAGCAATTCAGACAATACCCTGTGTCCTCTGGTAGGCGGTCCGGTTTCCCTAAGACATTTTTTTGGAAGCCCCAAAAATGCCCCTTTGTTGTAACTCACAGAAAGTCACATGAGAGTAGCTGAATTGTACAACCAAGTTTTATTAAGAGCCCACTGGAACAATAACAAATGTTTGCTTGTTTACACAAGCGTGCGCGCGCGCGCGCGCACACACACACACACACACACACACACACACACACAGAGTTTCATCACGTTTGCTCTGGAATTAGCTAGCAAAGCATTTGGGGTTATTTGCAGACTGGGTAGAGCATTCTACCTCTTTCCTTGAAGTTGTTTTATGGTCCTAATCTTCAGAGTGTGAGGCTAGCTCGGTTCTTATGAAACCCATTTTATTACTGGGCAGTCCAAGGACAGTTCTAAGGGATTTCATCAATTCAGAATAAACCAGGTTTCCATAATCCATCCAAGTGGACTCAAGCCCTTTCAAAGGTGGGGCAGACCTGTGACTTCCATTTCTGTAGCAAGGAAGTGTGGGGAGGGGCGGAGGTGCCAGGGGGAGGTCTACACATTAAACTTGAGGTCAGAATACTGTCTCAACCCAACTATTCTCTTCCTTCAGATCCTCCGAGCAAGGTCAGGTCCTGTTGGTGTTTTCAAGGTCTGCATAATCTATAAACTTCTGTTCATATATGTGATCACCAGGAAGGTCTGTCTGTTTCTATGAGGGGTGTGAGGAATTTGTGAGTCTTAGAGAATGGTTTGCTCATTGCCATTGCAGGGCGAAGTGTTTTGACAACTTGCCACAAGCTGGAGTCATCTGGGAAGAACTTCCGTAGAGAAAGTTTTCTTGACTGATGGTTGACATGGGAAGTACCAGAACATTGTGGGTAGTGCCATCCCTGGTGGTCCTGGATGATACAAGATAGTGGGCTGAGTGAGTCATTGGAGAACAAGCCAGTAAGGAGTGTTCCTCCATGATCTGCTTCAATTCCTGCATCTAGTTTTGATGCGGGAGAATTGTCTATATTCTGTCAATCATATTTTAATAAAACACCGATTGGCCAGGCAGGCAGTACAGGCGGGAAAGACAGACAGGAAGTAGAGGTGGAGCAAAGAGACTGGGAATATTCTAGGAAGCAGGAAGCTCCCTCCGCCACTCCTGCCCAGACCACCGAAGCAGCAACATGTGAGCTGACAGCTGGAAAAGAACCAAGTCATATGGCTAACGTAGATAAGGATAATGGGGTAACATATGTTATAAGAGCTAATAAGTAGCTAGAGCTAAGGGCCAATCAGTTTATAATCTTATGGAGTCTTGTGTGTGATTTTCTTTGGGAATTGCCGGCTGTGGGGTGCTGGGTGGGACAGATACCCCAACAAGCTGGCCCTTCATTTTACAGATGGCGCCCACTTGGATAACTAAATCCACAGAAAGCTTGAGAAAGCTTGGGAAAGAATAAAGCATGTTTTTTTGGTGGCAGCAATTTCTTGGGTCTGTTCTGCTTGCTAGAGGCAAGCAAGCACTCTCATCTAAGAGAGGCTTCCTGACTCAACTTTAGCTGCAAAACCCTGCAGCTCATTAAGAGGTCCTGCCACAAAACACTTAAACGGTGTTGATGGAAAGCTGAATGCAAACTTTTCAGATTTTAGCCATAGCAGGAAAAACGCTGTGCCGTTTTAAAATGTTGGCTTTCTGGGCCGTCCTGCCAGGGCAATCTCTGACTCTTTTAGGCAGGCAGTCCAACTAAATGTGGTCTGTGAGCAGAAAGCTGCAGCTTGCTTGCTGGCAGGGACCTTGAAACACTGTAGAGTTGTGACGATAAAAATGGCTCTGGCAGTACCTCTGTTATGAGGCTGGAAAGCTAAGGAATGGGCTGGATCTAGCTGTCAAAGCCATGGCTTTCATCCTCTTCTTAAAGACTCATGTGGTCAGAAAAAGAGAGACATACAGTAAAGAGAGATTCAAAGACAAAGAAAACCTCTTAATGGTTTACAGTGTGTTAAAATATATGCAAGATAAAAGTTAAAGTTCTTAAAGTAAAAAGAAAGAAAGAGAGTAGTTGGGTGTGGTGGTACACACCTTTAATCCCTATGCCCCGGAGGTAGAGGTGGGTTGACCTCTGTGACTTCAAGGGGCAGAGGTAGTTGACCTCTGTGACTTCAAGGTGTGGTAGCATACACCATAATCCCAATGCCAGGGAGGCAGAGACAGACAGATCTCTGAGTTCAAGGTGTGGTAGCACACACCTTTAATCCTAACACTGAGGAGACAGAGACAGGTGGATCTCTGTGAGTTCAAAGACAGCCTGGTCTACAGAGTTATTCCAAGACAAAGATATACAGAGAATCTGTCTCAAAAAGTAAAAGTTTGAAAATACCTTGACTTCAAAACTGAAGTCAAAAGGTATGTTACTTTGGAGAAGAGATTTTGCTTTTGTTTCCACAGAAAATGAGAGGCTGTGGATTCATTCTGAATTAAGAAAAAATCCACTTTGAACAAGGAAGACCACCTGAGAAATCTCCGGTAGGAACAGATGGCCTGGATGTTTGAATTCTACATCCAGAACAGATTCAAGACTGCTGCCTGAGATGATCAAGACTCACAGGATACTCCAGTCAGGACTTAATTATAACTCCAAATTTTCTTTAGGTCTCCATAAGATTATCAATGCCCCCAACCAGCAGGAAGTAGCCTGGAATACTATGCCCACATTCCCAACAAATGGACTATGGGTATTTTACTTTGTTAAAAAAAAAAAAAAAGAGGGAAATGATACGGGAGAATTGTCTATATTCTGCCAATCATATTTTAATAAAATGCTGATTGGCCAGGCAGGCAGTATAGGCGGGAAAGCCAGACAGGAAGTAGAGGTGGAGCAAAGAGACTGGGAATATTCTGGGAAGCAGGAAGCTTCCTCTGCCATTCCTGCCCACACCACCGAAGAGGCAACATGTGAGCTGCCACGCTGAGAAAGATACTGAGCCGTGTGGCTAATATAGATAATAATAATGGGTTAATATAAGTTACAAGGGTTAACAAGAAGCCTGAGCTAATGGCCCAATCAGTTTATAACCTAATGTAGACTCTGTGTTATTTTCTTTTGGAATTGCCGGTTGTGGGGCGCCGGGCGGGAAAGAAACCCCAACAAGCTGGCCCTCATGTTACATAGTTTCATGCCTTGAGTTCTTACTGTGTCCTCCCTCAGTAATCAGCCGTTACCTGGAACTGTAACCGGAAATAAACCCCATCCACCAGAAGCTGTTTCTTGCCTTGATGTTTTATCACAGTAATAGACATTAAACAAGAGAAACCATATTCTTAGCAACTTACTCAGTGCCAGGCACACAGTTAGGGTTTGATAAACAAATGATGCATTCTTTTGATTCAGTTCCTTTTCAAGCAATTATTTTTAAAGTTATGTAGAGATGTGTATGCCCATTTGTGTGTATGAGAACATTAGTGTAGGTTCCTGTAGAAGCTAGAAGAAGGAGTCATTGGTTCCCCTGTGCTGAAGTTATGAGAGTTTGTTAGCCATCTGTTATGGACGCTGGGATCTATACTCCATTTCTTTAGAAGAGCAGTACGTACTCTTAACCTCTGAGCCATATCTCCAGCCCTGCTGTGATTTTTATTCTTATATAGCACTGCTGACTCTCTGGTGCTGGTGCCAGCTCTGCAGACACGCTAAGGATTGCTGAATGACTGATCAATCCTTTGGGCTGGTGGCAAGCTGTCCCGTCAGTCAGTGATTTTAATAGAACTTATTACCGTCTAACCATCCTACTTTTGTGCTCAGTGCTAAAAACTGAGGGAAGATTTGAGACATCTGATAGTCTCTTTGGCAAGAGGAATTAAAAATCTAACTGGTAGGATGGGACTTATACAAATTAAATGTGAATTTTAATGTATGGGTCCCTAGTTCTAAAAAAAAGTCACAGATTTAGAGAATGAGCTAGAAAAGGGCTTTGTGGGAGTCAGAGCTTCACTGGGAAAGACTGACAGATGTCAATGAGTAGAGGCGGTGCCTACTGTGGGGATGGGTGTGGGGATGACTGACTTGAGGAATCGCCTCTGGTCGACCTGCAGTGGAATGTATGTGAGAGGAGATAAAGGTAAATTATGAAGAACCCTGAGATGTATTTCATGATCTGGAAACTACTTCTGGGGCCAGCCCGGCCAATGTGAAACTGTGGTGAGCAAGGACAGTTGGTGAGGCTTGGTGATTGGAGGAGGGCGTGGGAACTCATCCTACCTCCTCCAACTCTATGGTCTCCGTGTCACTAACACCAGCTCTGAAGATTTGAATTGGAAATCCCCCTACACAGCCAACTCACTGTTCCATAAAGCAGAGGTTTTCAAACTTGAATGTAATTTGAATTCTGAGGTCCTCCTTCTCCTCTTCTCCCTCCTCCTCCTCCCTCTTCTTCTTCTCCCTCCTCCTCCTCCCTCTTCTTCTTCTTCTTCTTCTTCTTCTTCTTCTTCTTCTTCTTCTTCTTCTTCTTCTTCTTCTTCTTCACCTTCTCCTCCTCCTCCTTCTCCTTCTCCTTCTTCTCCTCCTCTTCCTCCTTTTCTTCCTCTTCTTCTTCCCTTCTTCTTCTTCCTCCTCCTCCTCTGCCTCCCTCCTCTTCCAGTGCTGGGGATGGAACTGGGATTGTCCACACTAAGCAAGCACTCTGCTGCTTACCTCACCCCCAGGCAGGGAGTATTTCTCATCAACACCATATATAACCATCTGGTGTAGACAAGACATCTTCCTCCCATACTATACCTTAGTTCTGACTCAACAGATTGGGGTCTAGTGAGCTGAAGGCAGTCCATGGACCAAAATCTGTGACAGTAGCCTAAAGAGTAAGTGGTCAGAAGAAGATTAAATGTCTCAGAAGATGGATACTCAAGAAAAAGCACATTGGAAGTAAAGTATATAATTAGCTCCTCTGACTTTTTCAGA